TGAGCTGAGCCGCAGAGACACATGATGTCCAGATGCTATAAAAACAAGGTCCTTGTGAGGAAATGCAAAGCAGGTGTATCAGTGTGTAGGAAGGGGAGAAAGGAGACAATAGTTTGGCAATAGTGTCAACTTTCTTTGCATGTCTCATCTCTGAATTAGAAAGCTTATCTTTTCAACTGAGTTTCATCTGTGAGTTATCGGTACCAGAAAAACAGACTGAGAAGTAAAACAACCAGATTTATAAAGATTCTCAAGTTCAACTCCTACTTTTAATGACTATGTGGACCCAAACATGAGTTTTCTTGCCAGAAGTAAGGAAGGGTTTACCTCTACCTTTTCCCAGGATTATTGTCATTATTTTTTTTACTTCCTGGTTTATCCTACAGCCCTGCTATTTTGTGCCAGTCTTCTGGTCAAAGGCTAAAGGTAAAAGATAAAGATTTCCCTGTCAGTCGTGTCCAACTTAAGGGGATGATGCCCATCTCCGTTTCTTGGCTGAGGGAGTTAATGTTTCCATGGTCATGTGGCCAGCATGGCTATATGCCAAAGGCGCATGCAATGCTGCTTCCCACCAAAGTGGTACCTATTAATCTACTCTCATTTGCATGCTTTTTAACTACTAGGTGGGCAATCGAAGTCTAATTCTGCTTAGTGTCAGGATTCCGACTAATAGATCCATTGCAAGCAAAAACTCCAGGGCAGGTGGATTCCTCAAAGAATAGCTTTATTGGAAATATCATATTGGCACATATCTGATGAAAACCAACTCTGAGGGGTCCCTTGGTTTTCACCTAATTAAAAGTAAAAGTTTTTCCCTCAACCCCAAACAATCAGTCACATGGTCCAATCAAGGCAGCGCCCGCTGGTCTGGTGACATCATTCCTCCTTCCTCCAGCCAGGTGTGAGAACGTCCTTGGTTCCCAAGAGAAAGTATTTTATTTTGACTACACAACCCCAGCTGTCTCTAATCCCCCTTCCCTATCCCTCGCTCCAGTGTTGCAGTACTGAAGCTCCAAGATGGCTTCGGCCAGATCAGCTTCAGGGTTGACATTTAGTTCCTGAGCATAGTTTTATACACATATTTGCCTTTTAGTGTATGATACCAAAGGGAGGATGAGAGATACTACAATTATGACCTTCCTCATCACATCCATGAGTAGCATATAGGAATTCTGGAGTACAGTTGAAGTATAGTTTCTGTTTCGTCTTTTGTTATATGAAAGAATAAAGAGGCTCCTAAAATTCATTAGCTGAACCTAGGCATCACTGTCATTCAATAAAGGGCCCTACATGAATTAAAAAACTGAATATAGTACTTGTAAAAAGAATCTTATGCTTGTACAGGTGTGAGCTACCTTCACTAGTATTAACTGTATGGTGTTTAGAGACACTTTCTCAAAAGTCCCATTAATAATTGGATGGACAGCAACTGGCAATAGGGATGGGTGTGGGGCACATGCATCCATCCACACAGAAATAAGGTTGCTTGGAGGGGAAAAAACTCAGAAAAAAAATTAATAGAAAAGAAACATGAAAAAAAAAAAAAAACCTCTCCTGCCAAGAAAAATATAATATTAACTAAAGTAGCATGAGAAGATTGGCAGTGTTTTCTCAAGACCAGACACTAATTATTGGAATGTTTGGAAAAAGGTAGACAAAAGGAATAAATTGGATTCAAGTAGAAGACCAAGATATGAAAGATTCTACAGAAGCCCTTTCCCCAACTTGGGGCTTTCTACATGCATTAGAACTGCAAATCCCAGAATTGCCAGTTGGATATCTTATCTCATATTGACTAGAAATTATGAGAGTTGCAATTCTAATGTAGCCTGAAGAGAGCTAAGTGAGCAAAGTTTGCCAATCTAACTAAGGAGATGGAGGAATGTCGTGACTTGGTCTACTTTATAGTAGCTGTATTCTCCTATTCGTAGTTCCTACTGTTTACTGTAGACCTATATTCTGCACAGATCAGAAAGAGGGCTGAAAAAATATCTATAGACCCCTCATATCATAAATCGTTTCAATTCCTCCCCTCAGGATGCCACTATAGGGCATTGCATGCCAAAACAACTAGACACAGTTTTCCCCCTCATGCCAGCATTAAGCTGAACACATAATTGCCACAGTACAAGTACATAGTCACAGTAGAACTAGGTATATTTAGCCATGTAGTATGGCTGTATTACTATTATCTTTCTCATCTTTTTTATACTAGCTTCTCTTAGTTATGATTATATTATTTTGTTGTCTGTATGTACAAAGAGAGCTGATGCATTGGAGACAAATTTCTTGTGTGTCCAATCACACTTGGCCAATAACAGAATACTTTTAAGGTTAATCAGTAGAATAGAATACTATTCTACTCTTCTGATTAACCTCTCTCAACTTGTCAATTTTAAGATGTATCCCAGTGCTATTTTTAACAAAGTGAATGAAACCTTGCCTTCCTCACAGAAGTTCACTTTTTATTCAAAATCTCTAAAGGAAATGTGATTTTTAAAAGCAGATTTTACAAAATGATATGAAAAATAGGTAATTTTAAATGATGTAATTTCTTATTTGTTCTTCTGTTTGGTTCTAATAAATGTAATCCCCCCTTTTGTGTTCAGATGTCAGGAGGAAAACCCCCCAGAGAGATTAGCTGTTTTTATAAATTGGCACTGACATTTTTCATATTCTTATTATTCAAGAAAAATAATATATTCATTTACCTTTAAAACAAGAACACCAGATTAAAGCTCTGCAATGTGGTAGAGGAAGCAAAATTTCATAAATATCATTTATTTATTTATTTATTTATTTGATTTATATGCCGCCCTTTTCCAGAGACTCAGGGCGGCTTACAATGCGTTAAGCAATAGCCCTCATACTTTTGTATATACCTGCTTAGTAGGGCTTTCGGCCCCCCCCAGCGGTGTTCTTTTTTATACAAAATCAGCTTATTGCCCCCACAAACCGAGTCCTCATTATAATTGATATTAACACTGGAAATATCCTATTTGAGAAGCCAGATTACTGTTAATAGTGTTGCATGTAATTTTCATGAGTTCTCCATTTATTTCTTAGTTTTTTTTTTCCCTGCTGATCTTTTACGTCTCATAAACTTATATGTCTCATTCTTCTCAGTAGGGAGGAATAAGGGGAAAATATTTTCCTATGGTAGTTTTCAACACTTTTAACAGATTTTGGCAACCTATTCTTTAGATGAAAAGAACTATAATGGTGTTCTTGTGGTTGTATAAGAACACCAAACAATTGTATACTGTAGATCATGGCTGTCAAACTCACCGCATCACGTTGCCGTCACGTAACGTTTCGTGATGCTTTTCCCCTTCATGGAGCTGGAGTGGCTTGAGTGTGATGCATCTGGCCCGTAGGCCGCCATTTTGACACCCCTGCTGTAAATGAACAGAAATACAATTCCTATACATTCAAAGTCTCAGAAATGCAAGGTGTATAAAAGTTTCTCTTTTTTCCTAATCTACTTATTGTATCCTAGTCCTATGGAATAAATGAATAAATGCAGCTTACTTGTTTTTTTTCTCATTAAAATGTATAGGGTAAAACAAAAACATATAAGAAATAGTTAATCCGAAGAAATCCAAAAAGACATTGAACTAATTATTAAACACACATTTTTGAGATTCACTTATTAAAAGTTTATTACCAAGCACATTCATTGACTTATAAGTGTAGATTTAAATGATTTAATACATTTCTTGCGGACATTGATTCTCTGTCAATAGACCCATAACTATTACTGATATTTTTCTAGAAATATCCATGTGTTCCTAGGTTTAAATGGGATAAAATAAGAAAGAAGGAGAAAGGCAAAGCACAGGAAAGAAAAACAATGAAAGGCAGATAGGAAGTTCATTAAGTTCAGGTCCAACCACATGGACCCCAAAATTTCTATTGCTAATTGAAACAGTTGAAGTGAGTTTTGCCCCATTTTACAACTTTTCTTGCTACAGTTAAGCGAATCACTGCAGTTGTGTTAAGTTAGTCACATGGTTGCTAAGTGAATCTGGCTTCCCCATTGACTTTGCTTGTAAGAAAGTTGCAAAAGGGGATCATGTGACTCTGGCACATTTCAACTGTCATAAATACAAGCCAGTTGCCAAGCATTTGAATTTTGATCACATGACTATGGGGATGCTACAATGGCTGAATGTGTGAAAAATGGTCATAAGTCACTTTTTTTCAGTTTCATTGTAACTTTGAACGGTCACTAAATGGACCTTTGCTAGTTGAGGACTACATGTATACTGAATGGATGAAAAATGGGTATCACGGTGTAAATTAAATTATTTGACAAGTAACTCAAAGTAGCAAATATATCCAACAAGCCTTACTCCTCCTATTTTTCCCACACAATCCTGTGAAGTGGATTGGCCTGTTACCCTGTTTCCCTGAAAATAGGACCCAACTGGAAAATAAGTCCTAGCATGATTTTCAGGATGCTCATAATATAAGCCCTACCTCCAAAATAAGCCCCAGTTAAGATTGTCAGCCAAATGGATGCTTTTAGTACCATATTTTCCCCCAAATAAGACCCAACCAGAAAATAAGCCCTAATACATCTTTTGGAGCAAAAATTAATATTAGACCTGGTCTTATTTTCAGGGAAACATGGTAGTAACTGGAAAGGAAACCACTAGGAAATGGTTTCTGTGCTGGATTGAGAAATTAAAGAGATAGATAGATAGATAGATAGATAGAAAGATAGAGAGAGAGAGAGAGAGAGAGAGAGAGAGAGAGAGAGAGAGAGAGAGATACTGAAAGAAAGCAATGAAAAACAATTATGTTAATAACAACAAGGAAGATTTCAAATAACGATGTGTTCATGTACTCAAGATTGACTTAGACAAGTTTTATCTTCACTCAATTCTGAAAGGCCTGCTAGCTACCAGATGTGGAAATAATTCACTTCTCTTCATTTTGGTCACCATAGATTAACTTATTCTAATATTTTCTCCTCTGTTTTTTCCTCTTATCAGGAGAGTCCATAATTGTTATAAATGCCGTCAGTGCAGTTTTACAGCGCTTGATACACAATCCTTACTGGAACACTTCAACACTGTGCACTGTCAAGAAATGGACATCACCACAGCCAATGGGGAAGATAGCCATGGGATGGCGGCTGCTCTCAAGGAAGAATCCAAAATTGATCTGAAGGTTTATAACCTAATCAGTTCAGATCCAAAAATGGGGGAGCCCATCTTGGAGACTGTAGTGAAGAAGGAGAAGATAGAGGAAAAAGAAGGATCGAAGGAGAAAGGTTGGCCTGATGGGTCTAGTGAAGATCTTCGTGGTACAACTTGGAGAGGAGTGGACATTTTGAGAGGAAGCCCATCCTATACCCAAACAAGCTTGGGCCTTCTGACCACGGTGTCTGTTGTTCAAGAGCAGCCAAAAGCTTTGAGGGATAGTCCAAATGTAGAAGCTGCTCATCTCGCAAGGCCTGTTTATAGCTTGCCTGTTGAGACCAAGGGATTCCTGCAGGGCATGCCCCAAGGAAGTGGAGAAAAATCTGGACCACTTTCTCAGCCCTATCCTGGATCTGCTGATAACAAGTCAAAGGATGAGACTCAATCCCTTTTACGGGTAGGAAATTCTGTTTTTGTTTATATTCTTCAGGGAAATTCCTTCCTTCCTTCCTTCCTTCCTTCCTTCCTTCCTTCCTTCCTTCCTTCCTTCCTTCCCTCCCTCCCTCCCTCCCTCCCTCCCTCCTTCCTTTCTTCTGTCCTTGTTAAATGTACATTTCTGATGTTTGCTTTTCAAAATACCCCACATACTTAAGGTAATAATTTCATCACAGTCTTGTAAAGTTGCTCATACTAGTTGTGGTTGTGATTTTTGTTTGTCTTTAAATTTGGTTGTGCTAAGTCAGGTATTCCTGATGATTTTGCAAGACGAGGTTACATTTGAAATAAAAAAAAAATCCAGAAGGCTGAACATTTGTACAGAAAAGCATCTCTTTGCCTTTTACATTTTAACAGTATAGTTAAACAAGCCATCGTTGGATCAAATAGCTGAAACTATGAAAGTTGAAACATAATAATAAAAACTAAGACTGAAATTAAAGAAACAAAGCACAGTGTGATTAAATATAACATTTGATGCTTGTCTGGTTGTGTTGAAAATTGAGAAAGCTAAGGAGGCAAAGTTTTGATATTTTATTTTATTGCTGTTTTTTTTTTTATTGTAGCCTTAGGGGGGAAAATATTCTTTTACAGGTGCTTTTTTTTTTTAGGTGTAATCAGCTGTGGACTCTTATTCATTTCGCTGTCTCCTTAACAACATGCCTATTGTTGCATAGAAAATGGTCTTATGAAATAACTATTAATTTCAGATTAATGGGTGCAGAATATATATTGCAACACCTGTAGGATAACCTCAATTGGTGGTATTTTTTCCAAGCACAGTTGTATTGCTAAGTAGACAACTAATTTGTTGTAGTGATTAAGGCACCAATCTAAAAACTGGGAGACCGGAAGTTCTAGTGCTGCCTTAGTCACAAAGTCAGCTAGTTAACTTTGGGCCATTCACTCACTCTCAGTCCAAAAAGAAGGCAAGGGCAAACCACTTCAGCAAACGTTGCCAAGAGAACTGCACTGACTTGTCTAGGCAGTTGTCAGGATTTAAAACCGACTTGAAGCAAACATACAATATCACTAAGTAAATAGCAATAGCAATAGTACTTAGACTTATATACCGCTTCATAGTGCTTTACAGCCCTCTCTAAGTAGTTTACAGAGTCAGCATATTGCCCCCAACAATCTGGGTCCTCATTTTATCCACCTCAGAAGGATGGAAGGCTGAGTCATTCAATATTTGAATGGGGCTATCAAAGCTGTAATGCAGGGTAGAAAGTGGAAAATGAAAAACAAAAGACAGAAGAAAGTAAGGATGAAAATGCTTGACTGTTGCCAATAAAACTTCATGGATACCTTAGTTATCAAGAACCAGTCAATTTTTATTCAGAGGAGTGAAAATGATAAGTAGGACATAGTATCCTCTAGCTCAGGGGTGTCAAACTGGCGGCCCATGAGCCGGATGTGTCACCTACAGGCCATGCCCACCCCAGCTCCGCGAAGAGAAAAACATCATGAAACGTCACGTGATGGCAATGTGACGCTGAGAGTTTGACACCCGTGCTTTAGCTCATTTTTCCCCCCAAGCTGGAATCTTCAAGTTATGTGGATTTCAACTCCCAGAATTCCCTAGCTATCATGGTCATTGCTAAAAATGTGAAGTCCACATTCTCAAAATAACTTAGAGAAATGCCACAGTAGAATGAGCAGCAAGTACACACACCAAAAGAAATTATCTTAATTCAAGGAGAAATAAGATGCAGTATGAATGTGTTTAGGCAGCTTGTGCAACAAAGTTATAGATTCCATTTGTTGCAAGCTTTTGTTATTTCTTCTAGGGTTTTTTTCCCGTTTGCTTGTTGAGTCCGGTCATATAGTGCATTAAATAATGCATTATCCAAGCATATTTCAAATATAAACTTTTTTTTTTTGAAAATGTATATACTCTCCTTTAATGCTGCATTTTCACTATTAAAACTGCATGTTATTTTTAAAAGAACAAGACTAAAAGAAAAGAAAATGGTTGTTTGTGTTTATATATGTTTATGTGTGTTCATAATAGGCAACTTCTATAGTGTATATTATAAAAACTAATGTCTACGTAAATAAGATTTTCAAAAGACCATTGGCCTCCATAGCAGGAATTCTCACAACCTAAGAGTTTAACACTTATAATCTTTCTTTGCTTTGCAAATTAGAATTTTCTTTTGAGGTCTTTTAAAACTCTGGCCATTTCCTGCCTAAGTCTCTTCCACCTCTGGAAAATCAAAGAATTAAATGATCATACTAGTTCTGTTCTTAACTTGTTTTTTTAACCCCCTTTCAGGATTTTTTGTTCAATATACAAGGAGATGCTCTTTTCTATCCACAAAATAGAAAAAAAAAATCTTGCTAGAAAATTAAAATATTATGGGTTTAACACATGTTTTTCCTGATAGCACCTGCATTCATTGATTGCTTTGAAGAACTTCCATAAAAGTTAACAGACAAATGAAATCATCTTTGCAATAAATATATCTATTGACAGAAAATATCACCAAAACGAAAGATTGGAGCTTGATGATATGAATCAAAGTTGAATAGATTGCTTACAAAAATATGTGGATCCATTGAGTACAGGAAGTACAACATCCAATTTTGGATGTATTGTTTTATTTATTTAGTTTTCTTTCACCAGCAGCTGAATGGATATTAGGTAATTTTCTATGTGGTTTTTCAGTGTGTATGTAAAATAAACTATGGACGTTATATGTATTTGATTTCCCCCTCATGGCCACCCAAATTTGTTTTGCTCTGAAGGGAAAGCTCTTAAGCATTACTAAAATACTTCAAGACAAATCCAATTTGGGAATATCTAAGAATGATTTTCAAATGGTTGAAACGAAAAAAGCTTTCGTTAAGGGGAGCTTGAGTACTGAATATATGCTGAAACTCTTTAAAGCTCTATTTTTGGACTTTGCCTCAAATATAAGAATGCAGAATATCTTTAATGCCCTATTTTTGGAGCCTGCCTGAAATATACAGAATATTCATATCATAGAATTCAAATTAGGCATGTATCAATTTGGTTCATTCATACGAAATGTGGAAAAAGAATTTAAGACTTTAGAAATGTTAGTTGTGAATAGCAGCTAATAAGACTTTTTTTTCCCCCTTCAGGGTTGAAGTAAAGGTCTATTGTTAGAATTATTACGGTAGTTTTCCTCGGCAAAGCGCCACCATTCCTAATAAATTCTGCTATGCTACTGTTCTGGAACTTACTAATAGCAATTCTTTATTATTGTCAGCACCTTAGAATTTTGCAAATTAAAACACTAAGCAGCTTCAGTTTCAGATAAAGTTTAATTTTCAGATTCTGACTAGATTATGTGGAGTTTTAAAAACAGTATAACAAAAAATTGCCAATTTCAAGAGCTAGTCTGAAAGGAATAACCATACTAAACTAACTCAGAATTATCTGGGTATTTTACCAAAAGGACTTATGAAATTGGGTAGCATTGGAATTTCACCTGCAATTTACTAAGAGAACGTTTCTGTCTTGATAAATAAAAAATAAAAATAAAAAAAATAACAATTATTAGGAAGAAATTATTAGCAGAAATATATTTTAATCTAGTTTTTCAAATTTTGATGGAATTATTATATGTATATTGAAAGGTACACATAGCTGTGGATTTACAGATAGCTTTAAACTGGGTTTTGTATAAATATGTTTTATTGAATAAACATTGGCTTTCTTTAGAACATACTAAAAACATCAACAATAAAGCAGATTACTATTGGTATCTATTAGGACACAGTCTTTAGGTTTGCATTAATTTGCTTCTTTTAATTGTGCTTAAATCTTAAAAGTAGAATAGTTTCTCTCCCTAAATTAATATCTCCCTCTGCAGAATTAGCCAAAGGGGATAAAAACTGGTCTTATTACCTTGTAAGTAGAAAGATAGAAGGAGTTGAAAATATTTCTTAATTGTGGCTTATTTGATCCATAATTAATCTGAACCATAATTAATGAAACCCACAATTTTGTATGCCTCAGACTGTTCAGAATATCTTCAGATCCGAATGGAAATGTGAATAAAAATAGTCAATGTTCATAAATATTTTAATGGTGTCTGTTTTCCAAGAATGTCAGTACATGCATATTGATTCCAGGATATTTTGGGAGCATAAAATATCTCCCAGTGCATTATAGTGTCAACAGTTCTGTCCTTCTTTCCTTAAATTTGGATTTATCTTTTAAAGGTCTGTTAATACAGGATGAGTCTATTGATATGCAAAAATGTTCTTCTGAGTGGGGGAAGAAAAGATTTGGCGGCTGTTCTAGCCCAGGCTTATAAAAACAATGTTGTTTACTGTTTTGCGATCTCTTTCTGGGCAAGCACATACTTTTTGCTAAGCTTGATTTCAAATAAAGTTGCCTCACTAATTAGATGTAGCCTTTACATAATGTTTTCCCTCAGTTCTTAAAGAATATAAACACACAGTTGCAAGCACTACAGATGGAGGAATAAGAACTCAGGTTGAGAAAGTAGGATTTGCCTAAATCTACTCTGCAAGGTGAAAATTAAACCAAAGACCCCTTAGTTTAGGTGTGAGCACGCACCATTCCATTAGCTCCATGGTCATCTTTCTTAGTCATCTGGCACAACACACACACACACACACACACACACACACACACTTCTAGCATCAACTTTATTTCCACAAGTGCTTCTTATCCAGCCTTTTAGACTTTTTTTAAAGAAGCTATGGCTGTACTCCAGTGTTCTTGCTTTTTGTTAAACAAAAAGGTCTAATTAAAAATTGAATAAAATATCTTGTGAGCTTCATGGGATGCAGTTTGCATTTTTAAATAAATTGTAGGTGAAAATTTTTTTTTATGTATATATGTATATGTGTGTGTGTGTGTGTGTGTATATACACACACACACACACACACACACACACAACACACAATATATATATATATACACTTTTCGTAGGCCTTTATGTGTATTTCTCTTTAGC